GGGGGGGGGGAATGGGACACCTGTAATACTCTCAACAATAAAGATAAATTTAAAATAAATAAATGAGTAAATAAAAATTTTTGCTCTAAAAAAAAAAAAAAGAAATGTGTTAAACATCATGCACCCACTATAATAACCGACTGTCACCCAGGATGCTGTAAGGCATCCCTGATGCCCAGGGTACTTTTGCTGCATTCAAGTCCCCTGAATTCGGATTAAGCAGCCAATCTCCACAACAGGGAAGAGCCTGACTTCAATGGTACAATGAAACTGCACTCTAAGTTGAAAACCCCTTCCTCACAGACTGCTGTTTGCTCTCACTGCACACAGCACCTAACATAAGTATAATCAAACAGCTTAAACTATGTGTGTCATGTTTTCTGCTGCTGCTAGACTAGAAGCTCTGGGAGAACAGGGACTGTCCCCTGTAGTTCATAACTGTATCCCCAGGAATAGCACAGGGCTGGCCTAACCAAAACGTTGGAAATAGGTCCAGAATGAAGACTTGACTACAGGCTTGGGAAAGTACCTAGGTGTCTCTGAATCTGTTTCCTCACCTTCAAAATGGACTCACTCATCACTCCACAGAGGTCTCTAGAGTCTCTACTGACTGGCCTGCCTGCTCTTGCTGTCTCACTTGTCAGGCCCACCACAGCCTCACCTAACGGCCTCAGACCTTCAGCCTTCCCAACCCTGGGCCTCGTGTTATAGTATCTGCTCTTCTCCATCATGTCATCCAAGACTGTTATCACGGAGTACCCTCCCCCAAAATAAATACAGATTTAGAGAATTTCTATTCTAAACAATGAAGTTAAAAGGGCTGAAAGTACCTGGCAGTATCAAGGTCATAAAGTACGTTAAAGAAATATCACGATGCCTTAATCTCCTCATGCTTTTAGTTCCAAAATACACCTGCAGAGAAAGCCAACTACTGACTTAATTACGGACTTGAATTACTTGAATGGCAAACACAGTGAAGAACAAGACTTGACCGTGGGGGGGGGCACACAGTGCAATCTACAGATGATGCCCCACAAAAACATACATCTGCAACCTATGAAGTCTATTAGCCAAGGTCACCCCAATAAGTTTTATTTTTTTAAATATATCTTTATTGATTTCAGAGAGGAAAGGAGAGGGAGAGAGATAGAAACATCAATGATGAGAGAGTCATTGATCAGCTGCCTAGCCCACAACCTGGGCATGTGCTCTGACCGGGAATCGAACCCTGATCACCTGGATCCTAGGTCGACGATCAAGCACTGAGCCACGCCCTGCTGGACTTAAATAAATTACAAAAAAGAATTACAAAATTTACGGCAAAGTGTTTTGTTGGAAGTTTTTAAAAATGGATTTAGTGATGTCTTCTGTATTGCCTCACGGGGTTGTCACGATGTTAAAATAAATTAAACAATATGCACAGAAGTCCCCTGAAAAGTATGAAAGGAGTCTGGCTGGGCGTGGCTCAGAGGTTGAGTGTCGACCTAGGATCCAGGCAATCAGGGTTCGATTCCCAGTCAGGGCACATGCCCGGGTTGAGGGCTCGGTCAATGACTCTCTCATCATTGATGTTTCTATCTCTCTCTCCCTCTCCTTTCCTCTCTCTGAAATCAATAAAGATATATTTTTTTTAAAAAAAGTATGAAAGGAAAGCTGGTGTGGGGGCACTATTTTTAAGGTGATACAGTTCTTTGAACATGCACAAGTGAGTGCACGACCTTGGGAGGGTGTGCTGAGGACACAGCTGGAGGGCATGCTCTCTGGGAGCCAAGAGGCTCCCTGAAAACCTAAGGCATTTGCGGCATCACAGGAAGCCATGCCTCTTGCTTCCTAAGGCACAGGCTCTAAGTGAGGAGTGGAGTGCAACGGCCTGGCACAGCCCTGAGGAGTACATCTGTGTGCTGGAAAGGCCATTGCAGGAGCCAAGTGGCAGAAACCGCTTCAGACTGGCCCCTGACCACAGCGGCAACTGCTGCTCCCCGTACACATGCCTCATGCTTTAACGAGGAAAGTTACAAAACCGAGACTCCCTGATAGCATCTTCCCTGTCAGCAAGATGGTGACAGCTTTCTTGGGGGATCAGTCCTTGGGGAGGGGAAGGCCTTCATGACAAAGGGACAAAGGATTGTTGAGGAACACAACTGTGCTTTGGCTGTAGGGGACAGAACAACTGTGTCACCACTCTGCAGCTGACAAACATGCATAAGAATGCACCATCCAACAACATGCATGCTCTGCAGATGCTCATATGACAGAGTCCTAGGGGTAGTGAGCAGGCCATAGAGTGCGTCAAATCTGTCTCCAACCCCCCCATTCTCTCACAACCAACATTTCTATGTGTCTCTACCATGTGAAAGCCACTGCTTTAGGGGCTCTACTGACATACTTTCCCTTTACAGCCATGGACACCAGGAATGCGGGAGTTATCTTCATCAGTTCACTCGCAGAAGACACCCAGACTCCCAGAGGTGTGCTAACCCACCCAAGGTCACGACCATTAAGTGTCAGGCCAGGATCTGAGCCCAGGTGACCCCAACTCAAGCCCATGCTTCTGTCACAGCTGTAAACCCCAAATTCTCTAATGCCTGGTCAGCTGCTATATTCTGCAGCATCACCCTGGTTCAAGTTAAGCCAGTCTCCTCCTGCACCATGTGCTCCGCCTCCATACCCCACCCCACTACTGAACAATGTCTCATTTGAACCCTGTACAAGTTAGCTACACCCTGATTTCCTGGTTTTATTTCTTTTGTTTTTAATTTATTTTTAAAATGTTTTTATTGATTTCAGAGAGAGGAAGGGAGAGGGAAAGAGAGATAGAAACATCTGCACGCCCCCTGCTGGGAATCAAACCCGCAATCTGGGCATGTGCCCTGACCAGGAATCGAACTGCGATCTCCTGAACCCGAGCCATGCCGGCCAGGTTTCCCTGATTTTATAAACAGCTGTCTTGGTAGCTTCAAAATCTCCCCTTCTAAGAGCAAGTAACGGATTTCGGTCTGAATTTCTAATACAGATCTGTATTTTTTTTAAAACGAAGTAGTCAAAATAACCAACAGTAGAACAGAAAGTAAAAACGTCACCAACAGGAGCTGGGAGAAGCAGGGCACAAGAGAACTAGCCTTAAGGAAGCTCATCCTAGAGCTGAGAAGCGAAAACACTGAGCCCAGAGGGAGAAGACGACTAAGGGCAGAATGCTCAAAGTTCGTCACTCCTAAAGAGAAGGACCAAGTCCTCAGAAAGGAAGGAAGGCCTTCCAGTTTGTATACCTTTTCACATTTAAAAAAATTATTTTAAAGGCACTGTTTTTGGTTTATAATAAAATTTTGAGAATCTCAAAGTATTTCCGCCCACAACACCCCAGTAGATGGCAGAGAGAGGTAGAATCTACTTGATTCAACTCATCGCCAGTGCTACTCTTTCTTCAGGAGCAGCTCCAGGCCCATCTGGTCACACGTCCATCTGTGAGCAGGATGCGTGTCCCCAGCAGGACATCAACCAGCACTGTGAACCGCCCCTCAGGGGGTGCTAACTGCCCAGACTGATCAAGAGCACCGGGCCCAAGGACCCTCAGAGCTCACAGGGCTGTGCTCAGTATTTATGGAATGACAAGAGCGCCCTAAACTTTTGACAGCAAACAACACTCGGTCCAATAAAAGGAATTTCTTGAGACTCAGGGCAACCTCATTCTAGAACAAGCGACCAAGGAGGGTCTCTTGGAGAGCCTAAGAATGTACTTGTCTCCAAACCAGAGACTGGAGCTCCTAACCTCCTGAGGGCCCTTCCACCTCAACTGCCAGGTCAGAGAAGCCAGCCTCACATTGCTCTCTTCCTTTTTCTTTTTTCTAATTAAACATGATTTTAGTTCCCTTTCTTTTTTTTCACAGCTCTATTGTGATGATTCATATACCACACAATTCACTCACCTAAAGAGCACAATGCATGGTTTTTAGTGCAGTCACAGAGCTATGCAGCCACTGCCATCACCACAATCAACTTCAGAACATTTTCACTGTCCCAAAAGACACCCCCTAACTTTTAGCAGTCATCCCCCGTCTCTCCCAAATGGTCCCCTCCCCAGCCCTAAGCACCCACTAATCTGTTTTCTGTCTCTATCGGTTTGCCTGTTCTGGACATTTCATATAGATGGAATCATGTAACATGGTCCTTTGTGACTGGCTTCTCTCACTTAGCACGATACGTACTTTTTATTGTTTATTTTTAATTACATAAGATATATGTGAACTTACGCTCCTTAAAAAACCAGAAACTAAGAAATAAAACTAAATCCCCTATGGCCACCACCCCAGTCCTTCGCCCATCTCTCCAAAGATAACCAGTGTTTTAAGTTTGTTGCCTAACCTTCCACATGAGGGTTCAGCAAACTTTCTGTTAAGGTCCAGATGTTTTAGGCTTTGAGAGTCACAGGTCTCTGTCCTAGCTACTCAACTCTACCTTCACATTGTGAAGGAGTCACAGGCCATAGGTAATGAAAGAGATGGTTGTGTCCCAATAAAACTTTATTTACAAAAACAGACTGCAGGCCAGATTTGGCTCATGAGCTAGAGTCTGCCAACCCCTACTTTATAGAAACATATAATGCATTTTAAAGTATTAAAAAAGATCCAGAACAGGGGATGGCACTGTGGTTTTTGTACATGAAGTTGTACTAGAAGACAGCCACACCCATTCATGTGTCATCTACATCTGTTCTGTGATAGTAAGGCAAGTGCCACAAAGGTTTCTATTGACTGTAAGGCCCCAAAGCCAAAAACACTTATCATCTGGCCCTTTGCAGAAATGTTTTTGAACCCTGCTACAGAAAATATACCCTAGATTGCGTACATTCTTCTTACATAAAGTATGAGACTTTATATATTACTCTGCAGCTCGTTTTTATTCACCTAATGTTTCTGAGCTCTGTCCATGTTGGTATGTGTAGACAGAATTCATAACTTAAGTGCCACACAGAGTTCCCTTTTCTGAATAGCATACCTCATGTAGCCATTGCCAAACTGATGGACATTCAGGCTGCTCGAAAGTTCTACATTACAGTGTTGCAGTAAACATCCTTAGAAACACCCCCTTGGGCTCTGAGGTAAGTGCCTCTCTAGGATTCAAAGCAGGCATTCTCGGAACATGCCCATTTTTACTGGGACAGATGTTGCCCTCTCATGTGGCTGGCCCTGTCCCCTCTGCCCAGCCTTACTTGGCAAAGAGGGATTTCAGGGCTGTCAGCAGGCCGCAGGTCCCCAGGCCGTTGGTGAATTGGACACATCTGTCAACAGCTGCAGATGCCAGGCCAAAGAGCTTGCTCACAGAGTGGCTCAGCTCCTGCACGCAGTCAATGACTTCCCCGTGCTCCTGGGGAAACAAAAGCTGCCTCAGACTCGAGAACAAATGGACAGACAACCCTGAGACGGGGAGACTTCCAAGCCACCTCATCCATGGGACAGTCACTTAACAGGGACATCAGAAAGGCAGTCCCGAGCTGGGACAGCTCTTCACCAGCCTTAACTGGAGGAGGCCGGTCTAAGTGGCTGGTGAGGGTACAGAAGTTAACTCTTGGCAGAATGGTGTGATGAAATTCTGACAGCCATCCTTATATTTTTCATCTTTCCTCTTTTTCTGTGACCAAGATGGCATCTTCCCCTATGGTTCTCCAGCCAGGACTCAAATTCTCTGTATCAGACAACCCAGAAGAATTCTGAGAAAAGAAAATGCCTCCTTCGGGGGCCAGCATGCCACTGAAGCAAGGGAGACGTTCTGGGGGCATCCCTGGAAAACGGAACAGTGGTGCCGGTGGCAGGTTTAACTACCGGGAGACCTATTCCTAAATGTCAGCTTGCCTCACACCAGACCACCTTAACACCTGCCCTAACCCTGACCTCCCTCCTCTCCAGTGCCCCGAGAGCCCTGTCCATAAGTGCCTGGCTACTGTGCCCTTTTGCTTATCTGCCTCAAACAAAAGACTGCCAAAAAAATTAATAAATCAGGGAGATAACCTATCCCCACCAGGTAGAAGCTTCTCATTTGGCTAGATTGTTATTGGGGATTTTAAGTACAAAACTGGGAGCACATCTGTGGTCTCATTTTTACATTTGGTTCCCAAGAGCTCACAAGGCTCTTAGGGCCGGTTTTTGCACACCTGTTCCAACTCTGAGCACACCTGAGTCCACCTCACACTGTCTCCAGTGCATGCCACCCCCACCCCTGCCTGGCAAACAGAATGGCCGAGTGGCCAGTGGCAGTGGTGTGACATTACCAGAGGCACCGCACTGATCTGGATGAGGAGGTGCTGGGCTTCCATCTCGCCGTACTTGAGCTGGTAGGGTTTGTATGGACTGTAAACAGCACCCACCAGCTCCATGACTTTCACCGGGTTGTGCTCATCTTTAGGGAATCAGAAATGAGAGGCAACAATGAACACAGAATTAGAAATCAGTTCTGGAAAACGACAGGGGGACAGGTACTGGGGCTTCCCCGTTTCACCTCAAGGTAACTACTGTCCACGGAAGCTGCAACACTCCCTTACGTCAGTATCTTTATCCCCCCTAATCCTCACCCAAGGACATTTTTTCCATTGCTTTTCAGAGAGTGGGAGGGAGAGAAACACAGATGTGAGAGAGACACATCAAGTGGCTGCCTCCCACTCTAGCCCTGACCGGGGCTGAGCCTGCAACCAAGGTACGTGCCTTTGGCCAGAACAGAACCTGGGACCCTTCGGTCCATGGACTGACGCTCTAACCACTGAGCCAAGCCAGCCAGGGCCCTTACATCAATATCTTGATACATTTGAACTTTGTGTATTATTTGTCTAAAGCACTATTAAAGATAACCACCCCCTAAGTCCCACAACACATCATGGTTAAGAACACCTTCATATTGTAAAGAGAACCCCTTCAAATGACGATGTTCATCAGTCAAGTCCGAGGACTGTTACAGAGAAAGGGCTCTGCAAGAGAACACTCTCCTGGGCTTTACAGAGCAGGGTGTCCACACACTAGGCATCCCCCAACTTCCTATATTAAACAACATAAAAATTTAAAACCTTTGTATCAAAAATTTAAATGACATAGCAATTCAACTTCTAAGTTGAACACTTACCCAGTGACTCTGGCAGCCATTGGTAATCTTTGCCTGAATAGACTTTACTGTTACTGACTATAAATGGTGATTTGCTAATTCTTTCCTTCCTTCTACATCTATGTTCTGGCATTCTTTTGTAAAGAATTATTCCTTTCTCTGTTTTTATTTCTTTAAATTCTCACCCAAGGATATGTTTTCATTGATTTTTAGAGAGAGGGAGAGAGAGGGAGAGAGAGAGGAGAAGGGGGGAAGAGAGGGAGAGAAAAACATCAATCGGATGCCGCCCACATGCGCCCTGACCGGAAATCGAACCTGCAACCTTTTGGTGTATGAGATGAGGCTCTAACCAACCGAGCCACCCAGCCAGGGCTCCTTCTCTCTATTTAATAACACTATGAATTCATGAATTTTTAAAAATTCATTGTTTTCATCTATTACTGTCATTATTTATTTTAATGTTCAAATTATTTCAAATTTGGTCAATGGCTGGTCCCTCAGGTTGGCACCCATATCTTTTTAACTTTTCCCTATCAGTCTTTGAGTGTTTTCTTGCTTTTTGACACAAACTGATCCAAGAACAAAACATTATAGTAACTTGACTCGCTGGCTTGGCTCAGTGGTTGAGCATTGACCTATGATCAAGGAGATCAAGGTTCAATTCCCGGTCAGGGCACATGCTCAGGTTGTGGGCTCAATCCCCAGTCGGGGGCATGCAGGAGGCAGCTGATCAATGACACTCTCATCATTGATGTTTCTATCTCTCTCCCCCACCCCCCTCTGAAATCAATAAAGACATATTTTTTTTTTTTAAAGTTATAGTAACTCAGTTATAAAGTGGTCATTAAACATTTAATGACAGAAGAGATAAGATTGTATACAACCAATATTTTAAACTATGCATAGATATGCATATGTGTGCATATAAAGTGTTTACATTTATTTATGAAAAATGTGTACTTATATTTGAATTACTAGGAGGAAACACAAAATGTTGTAGTGACTCCAAGTGATGAGGCTACGGTTCATTTTTTTAATCCTCACCAGAGGATACTTTTTCCATTGCTTTTCAGAGAGAGTAGAAGGGAGAGAGAGAGACATTGATGTAAGTGAGACACATCGACTGGTTGCCTCCCGCACATGCCCCAACTGGGACCGGGAATCGAGTCTGCAATCGAGGCACATGCCCTTGGCCTGAATCAAACCTGGGACCCTTCAGTACGCAGGCTGATGCTCTAACCACTGAGCGAAACCAGCCAGGGCTACGGCTCATTTTTATTCTCTTTATTTTTGTGCCTCTAAAGTATTTTTAAATTGAAAAAAACCCATACCTTTTTTTACACTGGCCGGTATTCTCAGTGGTTAGAGCATCAGCACACAGACTGAAGGGTCACTGGTTCAATTCCCAGTCAAGAGCATGTGCCTGGGTTGCAGGTACAATCCCCAGCCCCAGGTGGGGCACATGCAAGAGGCAACTAATCAATGTGTCTGTCTCACTCTGATGTTCTCTCTCTCCCTCCCTTCCTAACACACTCTCTAAAAATCAATGAAAAAAATATTCTCGGGGGAGGATTAACACACACAAAGAAAACAAAAACAAAACACCTTTTTAAAAGTCACTTTAGGAACCATTAGAAATCTTACACACTATGGCTGACTACCGAAGCACTTCCATATCTGATTCTTCAACACTGCCCATGGTGGGGGGAGGCAGGCTGCCTGCTCCCAGTGCACCTGCATCCCACTCTGCTCTGGTAGGACACATGGCCTCAACACCCTCTCTGGCCACCTGGAAGGGCACTGCTAGTCCCCTAGAAGCTACCACAGCCACCATGCCTCTCCCATAACCAAGGCCTGACCAGTGAGTGTGCCAAAAACACCTATGAATCACCAGGAGCCCGAAAGTAATTACATATGAGTGTAATTAAAGAGAATCACTATTAAACAAGGCGAGCTGGTGACACAGCAGCCACACGGCAGAATGAGACCTTCCCAGAGCAATTTCCTGATCTGATAGCAGCATGTGTCACAATGCCTGCGGTACTTAAAAGTTTATGATGCTTTTAAGCACAGAAGGAAACAGCTGGGGATGCGCAGCACCCCAAGCATCACGTGCCTGAACAGGGACAGGAAGTGCTCTGCTCTCAGGTGGCAGTAGGGCAGGAAGTGCTCTGCTCTCAGGTGGCAGCAGGGGATGCCCATTCTCCCTGTGGCCACCTTCAGTACTGACACAGCATCTCTGCCCTCAAAACTTGTTGCCAAAGCCAAAAGCTCCTCTGAAACTTAACGTTTAGTTGAATTGCCTGAGTTTATATGACTTGAAAGAGGACACTGCCCCAGCTGGAGCCCAGCTGGTTGGAGCATGGTCCCATGTACCAAGCGGGTTGTGGGTTTGATTCCCAGTCAGGGCACACGCCTGGGTTGCGGGTCCAATCCCAGGTCAGGGCACGTGAGGGAGGCAACCAATTGATGTTTCTCTCTCATATCAGTGTTTCTCTCTTTCTCTCCCCTGCTTCCTCTCTCTCTCTTCTGTCCTCTCTCTCTAAAAATCAATGAACATGTCCTTGGGTGAGGATTTGGGGGAAAAAATTTTAAAAAAGAGGACACTATTTTCCCAAAGGAACCTCTGCCAACTGGTGGCCACTAAGGTCTACCTGCCTCTTTTACCTTCTAAGGTCCTGCAGAAAGGCCCACCTCCTCCCCAGAACAGGGCAGCACTGCCGCTAGGTAAATACATTAAGCAGTAACTATTTCCACAAAGGGAATGTTGTCATGGAAAAGGTTTTCATATCTGTTGAGAAGGAAAAAAGTGATTCTTCCCATTTCTGTAATATCAGTCGCCTGAAAATGCAAACCAACTCAGGCCCCAGAAGCGTCAACAAGAGTAAAGGCAAGCCAGAGACGGGGAGAGGGCTATTTACGTGAGTGGGGCAGCAGTGCCATCTCCAGCCCCTTGGCAAAGTGGGCAGTGGCGGCATACAGCTCCAGCAGCTTGGGAAGCTCCAGCTCGGGCCCCGCCTGCTCCACACTGGAGCCGAGGCACGTGGGCAGAGAGGGCGCCAAGTCCCCTAGGGTCTGAATCAGCAGCACAGTCACCACCTCGTAGGGGTTCTTAAAAACCTGCAGTGGGAGAGGGGTGCATGCGTTAGCATACTTGATCAAATGGGTGCATTCCTTCTAGAAAAGCAATCTCCTGACCACTCTGAAGGGTCTGTTCAAGAGCTATGAGCCCCATGTTTTTCTCACAGCAAACGTAAACATGCTCAGAAAGCCAAGTGAACTGGCAGGACTTGCAACTTGTCTAGAACAATTGGCTACTCCATGCCTATCACAGGCCCCACGTGCTGAACTATTTTCAAATCGACAAAATGTAGTATTTAGACGGTCACCAAAAATTGGCTAGAGAGGACTGTGAAGACGACAATGCAAAAATTGGAAGGGGGGGAACAAAATGAAATTAAAGAAGAGCAATTCAATGAATCAGAGCTGGAGGACCTTGAAGCAGATTTGCAGATCAGCTCGCAGCCCCCTCTCCTTGACACAGATCTTCAGTAAAGGTAAGGACCGCCAGGAACAGTGTAGCCAGAGCCTTTCAGATTATAAATTCACCTATTCGTTAAGGCTTTTTCCCATTCTGTAGACAATAGGTATCTTGGACAAAACTTAAATCATACAAGCAGTGAATTTAGAGGGGGATTCTTACAGACCCCCACTGTTGATTAAATGCTTTTTTATTATCGCATAATTTAAATATGCACAAACATGAAGCAAGATATAAGATTGTTCTTATGCAACTCTAAAGCCAAAAAAGGTATGAGTTTAAAAACTATAAAATCAATAAATTCAATTTTTTATTAGAAAATACCTTGAGATAAATGAAAATGAAAACACTATAGCAAAACTTAGGAGATAAAGCATAAGCAGTGCTAAGAGGGAAATTTATAGCTGTAGATGGAGACATTAAAAAATAGCTCGAATCAGCAGCCTAACTGTACACATTAAGAAACCAGAAAAAAGAAGCTAAACTCAACAATAGCAATAGAACAAAAATAATAAAGATTAGATCAGAGATATATAAGAGAGAATAGAAATATCAATTTAAAAATCAGGAAGACTAGAAGTTGGTTCTTTGAAAAGACTAATAAAATTAACAAACCTAAATTAATAAAATCAAATAATGAAAGTGGGGACATTACTACCGATTTCATAGAAATAAAAAGGATTATATCATGAATAATTGTACACCAGCAAATTAACTTAAGGGAAATGGACAGCCCTGGCTGTTATCTAAGTGGTTAGAGCGTCAGCCTGGAACTGAAGTGCCCTGGGTTTGATTCCAGCCAAGGGCACGTACCTCAGTTGCAGGCTCGATCCCAGACCCAGTTGGGGTGCGTGTGGGAGGCAACCGATCGATGTCTCTCTCACACGGATGTTTCTCTCTCTCTCTCTGTCTCTCTCTCTGAAAAGCAGTGGAAAAACTGTCCTTGGGTGAGGGTTAAAAATAATAATAAATAAATACATAAATAAGTATAAATTAAACGGTCAAATCAAGAAATATAGCCCCGCTGGTGTGGCTCAGTGGCTGAGTGACAACCCAGGAACCAACAGGTCACCGGTTTGATTCCCGGTCAGGGCACATGCCCAGGTTGTGGGTTAGATCCCCAATAGGGAGCATGCAGGAGTCAGCCAATCGATGTTGATGTTTCTCTCTTATCGATGTTTCTCTATCTCACTCTCCCTTCCTATCTCTCTAAAATCAATAAAAACATATATTTTTTTAAAAAGACATATCTCCAAAGAAGAAAATACAACTGACACATTACCCACTAGGATGGCTATTATAAAAATTTTCTTAAGTGACAAGTGTTGGCAAGGATATAGAGAAACTGGAACAACTGGAACCCTTGTGCACTGCTGGTAGGAATATAAAAATGGTACAGCTGCTGTGGAAAACAGTTGGCAGCTCCCCAAAATGTAAAAACATTACAGTATGACTAAATAATTCTATTCCTAGGTATATACCCAAAAGAGCTGAAAACAGGGACACAACTAGATATTTGTACACCAATGTTCACAGGAGCATTATTTATAATGCCAACAGGTAAAAGCAATTCAAGTGTCTATCATTAGATGGATGGGTAAACAAAACGTGGTAAATACAGTGGATATCAGTCACGAAAGGATGAAATCCTGATACATGCTACAACATGGATGATGCCTGAAAACATGCTGAGTGAAAGAAGGCAGACTCAAGGGACAAATATTGTATGATTCCACCTACATGAGGTATCTACAGTAGGAACACTTATAGGAACAGCAAACCAGCAGTTACCAGGTGATAAGGGACGAGGGATGGAGAGTTATTGCTTAATGAGTTCACTGTTCCTGTTTGAGATGATACAAGAATTCTGGAAATAGCAGTGACAGTTAACACTGTGAATGTACTTAATGCCACTTAACTTACACTTAAAAATAGTTAAAGTGGTTTATGTTATATATATTTTTACCACAATAAAAAAATTAACTATAAAATCAGTAAAATTTGAAACAACAGGAGAAATAAAGATAATGTTCTTCTGCCCTTTCCATCATTACTTTGCCCTTGCTGCTATGACACAGGTCCTCCAGAGTCCAGCATGCCTGTCCTACCTTATGGTGTCTGACAGAATTCCCACACAGTTCCCACCTCCATTCTAACTACAAACTACGATGAAAACATCAGGGTGGCTATGGCACTACCCAGCACTCACTTGGCACCACTGCTCCCATCATGTAAGTACTGAATTTGTCTCCTCTCTCTCAGACCAATCGATTAATCAGCAAAAAGCCGAGGGGCAGTAATTCACACCCTTTAGGGCTGGAAATGCCTAGAGGTTTTGGGAGAGTAAGTGAGGAGAAAGTTCCACTTCGCATCAGGTTGCTCAGTCTCACCTCTGACCCAAGTCAGGGGCTGCCTTTAAAGCCACATTCCTCTGCTAACTCCCACAGTATTGTGAGAACAAGAGAAATAACTATAGACCAGGAAACTGTTATCCAAAGTTAAGATAAAAAAGATCTTGTTCGCTCAAACAGCACCTGACTAAGAGCCATGGCTGTCAGATGAGAAGATAATGGCCTTCAGGAATTCCACAGGCTCCCCTGCTCAACAACAAGCAACACCGTCACATTAGATTCCACTTAAGATATAGATAAGAGAGAAGATTAGAGTTGTAACAGATCTAGAGATTTTACTGCTGTGGGTTTGGAAGCTTATCTTTTAACTCCTTCCAGGAAGGCAGCCAACAGGGGGGTCTTCAGGCTGCTCTCCGCAGTTGAGACAACTCCCAGAGCGGTCACCTGTTTCCTGCCACCAAGGCTTTGCTCTCCCCAGAACCCAAGTGAGAGGATACCTGCGTAGCCCATTGAATTTGCGTGTGCCAAGCTCCCAGTAAGGCATCGTAGAGTCCGGTGAGCTGCCGGTCCAGGGGGAGGTCGCTCTGGCACAGCTCTTGCCAGGCTCCAACAAGCTGCACCTGCACAGGCAGAACAAAGGGGCCCGCTGGGTACATCAACATGTGCTGCCTGCTAAAACCACCCTGCCCTCCCACTATGGCAAGCTAGCTACTGCAGCCTACTATCCTAAGGAACCACGACCCCCTGATGGCCATGCACTTCCAAAAAAGCAGGAGAAACCCCATGTAGTTAACTGCTCTCATCATCAATCAAAACTAAAGCTGCTGCCCTCTAAGTGATCCTTACTCCTTTCATCTCGCTCTAGAAGCAGGCCAATGTACTGTACCTCAGCAGGCCTCCACCCTTCTGCAGAGACCTCAGAAGTGGGTGTGAGTGTGTTTTAGCTTCAAGTCCTAACTCTCCTGCTTAAATGACACATGAGCATCAGACCTGAAAGAAATCAGGTTAGCCCAGGACGCTGTCAAGTTTTTCAGGAACCTAACTTCAACAACCCCAGGAAATACATAAAATTCTCATGGCTTGCTGAGGGCATTATTAAGCTTAAGACAAGAATCTCCCTTAGAGGACAAAACTGGAAAATTAAAAACAACTTTTCAGTCTATAAATGAAATCCAGCTGTAAATAAATATAAGAGAGACCAAAACTGATGATTCATTTTCCAACTGGCAATTGAATGAATCCCCAGGCTGGGCCCACAGCACCCCCTGCTGGCTAATGAGAGAAAAATTCAGAATGAGGAGGCAATTTTTACCTGAGTATGAATCTAGGATTCCACAAGCATAACCACACACAGCTTCTCACCTTGTGACATTTGTAGTAGTAGGCCAGAAGCTGGGGCATCCGGTCAATTTCAGTGAACACCTTCACAAACATTTTGGATTGCTCTAAAGAATGACATAAAATGTGTATATGCCGTTACCAGGTTTTCTGTTGTAGCCAGAGGAAGAATTTATCAAAATAAATGTGAATGGACACATGAGGCAGAATTCAGAAGTTTCTACCTAGACAATGATGGAACTCATGTGTGGAAATCATAAATATGAAAAATAAGCAAAGTTAAGGGCAGAACGTGTGTCTCAACTGAACACTTCTTGCTTAGAACAACGCATCAATAAGCCTCATTAATATAGCTGAGATTATACGCTGGCCAAGTAAATGTTACATGGGAGTAGAAAAAAGAATTAGAATCAGGGGTGGGGCTTGGGCTGTAAAACAGGGGATCTGCTGCTCAGGGCTGTACAAGGGGTTGGGGAGAGCCTCAGACAATTTTGTGCTTTAAGCAACTTGCCTGCCTGGCTCTGAAGTAGAATCATAAAATAGCCTCAGAAAGGCATCTAAAACCACCACCAACCAGCCCCATTCTGCAGAGGACACTAGTCTAAAGAGCTTTAGCCGCTTGCAAATCCACTGCTAAACCACGTGAACTGCCACTACTCGCCCATCTCCTACCTTCGTGGCTCAGTCTAATATTTACATGAACTACAAACACTGACACAAGCAGACCTCCAGAGCCTTTTACCTCCTAAGTCGGGGTGAGCCCCTAGCTCTGTGTGGCTTGCGCCTCATCAGAAGGGCCTTTTCCAATCAGCCGGCCCCAACGGGGTTATTCTGGCTGCTCCCTATCACATCTTCTCCTTCACAAACTAATCACAACCTGTATTATTCTATTTAGCTACTTGTGTAATAGCTTATGGTTTTTCTTGGAAACATAAGCGCCACAAGGGCTGTGACCTCTCCTGTCGTTTCACTGTTTTTAGGAATAAGCACAGCACACGGTAGGAAGTCAAACACTGCAGTAAATGTACTGCCTTTGAGCCCTGCTGCGTGCCTGTGAGTGGTGCCGGGGGTCAGGCTACAGCACCAGGCCCCTGCTTGCACATAACTGGGGCCCACTGCTCCACCCAGGCCCTTTTAACCTCCCTTTTCACCATGAACTACAGGGTGGCACCACGCTGCCTGGGCACAGGACGGGTTTTCCAGGGGGGCAGGGGGCTTGTGATGACCAAGTCCCTGAGGTTGAATGCCCTAGGGAGAAGTCGGGGACCCTGTGGGCTCTGCTACTAGTGCCCTGCACATTTCCTGTGCCTACCCTGTAGGTCCCAGCTCTCCTCTTTCCTTGCTGATCAGTGAGACATACAGATGGTTCACCACGGTGTCGGTGGTAGAAAAGGGAGAGAGAAACGGGCTATGGCCTTGAGCAGCTTAAGGGCATGGTGTACAGGCTTTGGTCTTGAGGTGCAAGAACTTAACTCATCTGGCTAAGGTGTAGATTTGACCTTTTTACAAAAACTGCCATTTAGAGCCAACTGCTTATTTGCATACATGGCAAGTGTGGGGTAAAGCGTTGGGTAAATGAATGTGGCCCAGTTAGCCTAAACAGCTTAAACAACTGTGAAGGTTAGATTTTAGGCATTACTGGGCACAACATAGGCACCTAAATAATTGCACAATCACTCCTATAATCCAGATTCTAGGTGACACAAGCTCTCACCTGGGCTTAGATTTAATGTGCATCACTTCTCAGTACAGGGAAGCACAAGTATAGGGACACTGCTTTGGCCACTAGAGGGGGCCCCAAGGAACAGGACCACTAGGCAATACAGTTCAGAACTGTCCCCCTCACGTTAAACATGGGCTGAGGATAATAGCACCTAGCTCATGTTAGGTGTGGTGAGTGACTACCTGGGATCCTTAACAGTGCTGGTCCAGTGATCCCCCAGGAAACCAAAGCTGCTATTGGCAGCTGATGGCCCAGGTGCCCTGAACCCACTGTTTATTCTGTCCCTGTTACCTAAATAGGACTCAGTAGAAATAACTTAGATGCTTTCATCTAGGATTTGACAGATGTTTATTTTGTGAAGTGATGCAAGTAACAGTAAATCCCCACCTATTTAAGTGCAATAGGGTAGAGGCATGTGTAATGTTTACACAGTAGTACATCTAGTCCTTTACCTTTAGTTATTGCACTTAAATTATAAAAGCCAGTGAACAAGACACGCAGTCTGACTGGCAAACTGAGAAGTTAGAACAGCACACCAACTGCAATGGTCGAATTTAAGCCAAATGGTTTAATGGTGCAATTTATCAAATAAGGGTTCGAAAATGCAGTAAATTGATGATTGTTTTAAATAGCATTGTTTTCCTGCAATATAATAGCATGTTCATGTTGGAAAAAATAGAAAACAGAGTAAGCAAGAAGAAAAAACTGCCTATAATCCTATCACAGTCTGTTAAACACTGTCAATGTTTTGGTATATATTCACAGAATATTTTTAGAAAAAACTTCTAGTGTTTACTGGCTTAAATATAATCACAACTTTAAAATCTCTACCCAACACGGCAGAATTTGTTATTTCTTGAAACAAGTAATAAAGCAGAATTGGGCAATACAGTGAACCCATTTAGTAAAACCATTCTGAAACTCAAAAGTAATAATACATGAATCTTTAGCCCTTAGAGAGGAATGTGAGTTTTTCAAGACTAGTGCATTTTAATTTGTAAAACTGGGAGAAGTTCCTGATTCAAACAACAGAAATAGGAAACCTTCTTTGGCAACCATAAAGACTTCTGGGCAAACACCTCCAGTTCAATTCAAAATAACTGTGAGCACCTGCTGGTGCAGAGCCACCTGCTGGCACTGTGGGGTCTTGAAGTGGACTTGCTATTTTTGCAGCCCCACATCTACTGCTCCATTTCCGCTAACAGAACTCAGGTTCTTCTCTGAGGAACCATGCATCTGCTTCCATGCTCCCATTTTCCATTTAAATATTTCCAGTGAAGCTGATTCTACAAATGGCTGCCAGGTCTGGCCAATCAGAGCCTCAAATCTGCCTGATTAAGTAAGTCAGAGGTGCAAAAGCCTGCCCATCAAATGCCATCAAGATTAATTGTGGGCCCTGGCCAGTGTGGCTAAGTTGGTTGAGCATCTTCCCATGCACTGAGAGGTTGCCAGTTCAATTCCCAGTCAGGGCGTATGCCCGGGTTTCGGGCTCAATCCCCAGTAGGTAGCAGATCAGTGTTTCTCCTCTCTCTCCCTGCCTCCCTTCTTCTCACTAAAATCAATAAAAACATATTTTTTAAAAAAAAAAAAAGATTAATCACGGGACCTCTTCTCAAGCTGTGAGAATGAAAGCCCAGAACTGCAAGGGCCAACACATGAAAAGTATGCCTGGAAGTAATCCCAACACAGAGGAATGGAGCCAAGAAACAGCATGAGAGAGAGACTGGTACCCCGGCCAGGTGGCTCAGTTGGTTGGAGCATTGTCTTATGCAGGTTCAATCCCCAGTTGGGGCTCATACAGGGGGACAACCTGTCAATGTTTCTCTCTCTCTCTCCCCCTTCCTCTCTCCAGAAGCTAGTCCAACCCCTGAACTTCTCAGTTCCATAAGCCAATATATTCTCCCTCCCGTCCTCCCTCTCTCGCCTTTAAGTCAGTTTGAATTGGGTTCTGTCACTTGCAACCAAAAAGAATCCCAAACTGATGTACATCGATGCAAATAAAATGTGGTCCCTAGTGTCTATCCCATCCACCCAATGTCTATCCCATCCACCCAAAGTATAATATATGACCAATGGGTTCTTATTATTTCATATTAACAAATGACTTTCAATTATAAACAAAACCATATATAACAAACTTATAGCACCAAGAGGAATTAGCACGAACACTGAAAATAAAAGCTAAGAGTCCCCAAAATTCATTTATGCTGCTTTCGCATATGATTTCACCTTCTATTTTGACAAAAGTACTTCTCACAAAGTGCCCTGCATGTAGGAGACATGTCAGAATTATCTGTTAAATGAAAAAATTATATAGGAAAAAATGCTCTGAAATCTGTCCCTAAAATATTTCCCCCACTGTATCCGTCTGCACCATGTCACTGTTTTCTCCAACGTACAGACAGCAGGAATCGGCCTTAAGCATGTGCCTGAGAGCACCGCCCTCCTTCCTTCTCCCCTGGACAAAGAGAGCATGTGGTTGAGTGTGTGAGTAAACATAAACAGAGGTGAGGGTAATATCTAAGGCAGATCTGCACAGCAGGCCATAACAACAGAAATCCGCTGTGGATAAGCTAGCTGGCCCACTTTTATACCCACAGGACTTCTTTTAGTTTTGTTTATTGTTATTTTTTTTAATCCTCACTGAGGAAATTTTTTCATTGCTTTTCAGAGAGAATGGAAGGGAGAAAGACAGAGAAACACTGCTGCGAGAGAGACACATCAACTGGTTGCCTCCTGCATGTACCCCGACTGGGGCTGGGGATTGAGCCTGCAACCAAGGTATGTGCCCTTGGCTGGAATCGAACCCCGGACCCTTCAGTCCAAGGGCTGATGCTTTAACCACTGAGTAAAACTGTCCAGGGTCACAGGACTTCTTCCAAAGCTTTCCCACTTATATAACCTCACTTTAACTTCAGTGCAACCCTGTGAGTTAAGATGGAGAAATTGCCAACAGAATAAATAAGTTAATCAAGATCACAAAACTAGAAGGGCCAAGACCATCTACTGGTCAGTTCCTGAGACATCCTCTAACTCCTATGATTTGTCCAAGGTGACAACTGATAGACACAAGACTTTAATCTTAGATCTAGCAAAGAGCTGTGCTGGTACAGATCAGAGAAGAGAGAGCTCCAGAAGAAAAGTCTCTGAGGGAAAGGGGAAACTCCAAATACCTTACTCCCATGATATAGTGTTTGGAAAAAATTAAGAACTATGAATGGTTAAGAAGAATGAGAGAGAATAAAAGGCAATCAGACACTTCAGGATGAACATGAAGCAGAACAGGAAAGCAGTTAAAAAATACAGGAACTATTTATAAAGTTGTGATAATATAGATACTATTTAATTCAATTTAAAGTGGTGGTATAGGAAGGGAATGAGGAAGGGAGAGAAGAGCTGTGAAAGCTAAATCCTTAACTGTAATAGGAAGTCAATAGACACTGCCTAAAATTGAATTACAAAGAAATAAAGTACTACATTTATTATACAGAAATGCACAGTCAAATACCAGAGAACAGGAGCTCTAGAAATGAAAAGCGAGGGTCTCCTGCCACTGGAGGTGAGGAGTGGCGAGGTAGAGGAAGAGAATGCTGTTTTCCCTATAAGACCTTCAGTACGGTTTAACTTTTTCAGCTGATGAGGGTAATTCAGCTGAATTCAAGAAAAAGCAAAGCAAAGCCAATTAACTCATTTGTGGGTCTGCACTCCCAATCTGTAGTTCAGCTAACTCTGCTGAGCTGCAGGCCTTTTAGAAACACTGCCGCTCTCATTCAAGCAGAACTTCCAGGAGTTCCTTACTGGCTCGTAGGAACTGTCCCCTGTGGGCCACTGTAAGAGCTACAGTCTCAAAACAGGAGGTCCAAGAGGAAGAATGATCCCTGAATGCCTCCTCTGGACCAGGAGCTGTGCTCCTGCTGTCTCCTTTAATGCCCCCAAGAATGGCATGGTCGAATTCCCCACTCATATTACTGAGGGGAAACTGAGGTCTCGTTCATATGCAGAAGCCAAGAGCTTTCAAGCTAGGTCTGTCCACTGTCCAGTCAACACTGCTCCCTCTCAGTAAGTCTCCTGAGGAGTGTGGCCAAGAACTGATAATAGTGATGAAATTATTCCCTGAACAGAAGCTCTTGAATCTGCTCAGGCAAACTATGTTCTGTCCCCAACCCTTTCCGGCCTCATCACTGACCATTTCCCAACATTTACTCCACTAAAATGGGTTCAATTACTATTCCCCAAAACAGACCCAGAGTTTCCCCACTTCTGTACCATTCAAACATATGGTGTTCCCTCTGCCCCCAAATGCTTCTCCTCACCTATCAAAATCTTACACCCAGGGGAAAATACTCATACTATATTGCTAACTGGGGCAAAAATATATATATACTCAATGTATATATGTTTCTTGAAATATATATGTATACAAAGGGGGAAAACTGGAAGGAAACACTAACAGTTATCTCTAAACCATTTTCCTTTCTATATTTTTCAAATTTCCAATAACCTATGTACATATTACATCTACAATGAGAAACATTTTTCAGTGGTTTTAAGTCCATCTCTCTTTCATGGTTCTGCACAGATACTAGCTCTTACATAAAAGCGTCCTCAGTTTTCCTTCATCCCTTCCTTGGTCACAGGGCGGCCTAGGCAACTTTCACATTCCGTCCTTTAAGTATTTGTGCACTCTTCTTGCCCAGCCTCACCCTCGACCAAGCAAGCCATCCTGATGGGCAGAAACCTCATCTGACTCACCTTTACATTCCTTGATGTTCCTCACATCATTAATATTTTGAAATAACAGTTACCAGGTAGTTATCCCTTTGAAAATTCTTACTGTTTTAGCAGATGGGGAACCATAAAAAACGCAGACAAACTCAATTCCTAGATTCGGTGGCTTGAGGAATAACTAAATAAGTTGGTAAACATCCGCATTCCACACGAAGCAAAGGACTCTAAGGGCCAAGTTATGGGTCTGATATCAAGTAATTTCTGACATGCTTCCCTAGCCCAGGAAATGACTAAACAAAGCACTTGCTTCCAGGATGGCTGCAGAAAAACAGGAAGGCGAGTCCCTGCTGGCCTCGACTTGCAGCAACACTGCCGCTGCCTCTCGTCTGCCCCCTTCTGGCCAAAGGGTAGATGTCACAGTCTTAGAAGTCAATTAAGAAGGAAAAAATCCTGTAGGACAGAAATTGGAAGTTCCTCCTTTCATAGGTACTCACACTCCTGGATGTTATGAGGTATACGTAGCATGAACACTTTATAATACTGATTAATTAAATGTAAGATAATTCACCTAAAAAAAAAAAAACCAAAAAAAAATACTGAGCTAACCCAACCTTTTATCTCTGCTTTGCTCCCCTTCATCTCTAGGAAGCCCAGTAAACTGCTAACAAGGAACCTCTGTAATAGCAGCCACTGGAGACAATCCAGCTACACCTGGGAGACCTGGCAATAGATCTCACCTTAATGGGCCAGAATCCATGGGCGAGAAAATTAGTATTTTCCTTTAAATGCTTATTATTTTCATAAGATGGCATAAACAAATGCATTTTTCTGCTTGCTACATGTAAAATTATGCCACAGAAAGTTGCTTCAACTTATCAACTGAATTCACTGGTTGTATAAAGTGAAATAGACATGTATACTTAGAGACTGTCACTCTGGGAAACAGATGGAAAAGGGTAATGTATTGGGGATGTAGGAATTTATCAGAGCTTTCCCTTTAAAACTGTTAGATAAAGAAGCACCTTGGCCTTCCAGGAAAGATGGCTGATTAAAAAGCACATTATTTTTTTTGCAGCGGGGAATCCTTCCTGATACTCACCAAAATTAACCACCAATGCCTGGCCGGGCGTGGCTCAGCAGCTGAGCATCGACCTAGGATCCAGGAGACTGTGGTTCGATTCCCGGTCAGGGCACATGCCCAGGTTGCGGGCTCGATCTCCAGTGGGGGTCATGCTGGAGGCAGCCGATCAATGATAACTCTCTCATCACTGATGTTTCTATCTCTCTCCCTCTCCCTTCCTCTCTTTGAAATCAATAAAGATAGATTAAAAAAAAAAAAAATTAACCACCAAAAGAAACACACCACCATTTCATCTATGTTGAAGCCAGGAAATATCTGCACTACAAACTTCAAAGAATGCCAATCAGATACTCAGTCATTTTGGCTCAAGAGGAGTGGAAGTGCTGGGAGAACTCTGAACGTGAGCATGGAGCAGCGTGCTGGGAAGAAGTGAAGATGGAGCAAAGGGAGGTCTGGGCAAGGCATGGGAAGGAAGCCTGTTTCTGCACATGTCAGTGGGTGCCCTCAACACTGGTGATCTCACACTTCATTTCAAAACTACTACCGCCCTGGACAGCATGGCTCAGTTGGTTGGAGCGCTGTCCCATACACCAAAATGTGGTGGGTTCAATTCCCAGTCAGGGCACATGCCCAGGTTTCGGGTTTGATCCCTGGCTGGGGCATTGCAAGAGGCGACTGATCAATGTTTCTCTCTCACATCAATGCTTTTCTCTCCCTCCCTTCTTCTCTAAAATAAAATAAAAATAGCTTATTACAAAGCTACAATGATCAAAACACTGTGGTACTGGTGTAAGAATAGACAGAGATGGTAATATTCATATTCAAGTGGAACTGCAGACAAAAAGCACTTAATGGGGTCATAGCAATATTGATAAAAGTGCTACTTAAATCCTAATAGAGCTCTAGCTGCTTTGGCTCAGTGGTTAGAGCATCATCCCATGAACTGAAGGGTCCCAGTTTGATTCCAGCCAAGGGCAGGTACCTCGGTTGCAGGCTCGATCCTCAGCCCAGCTGGGGCTCATGTGGGAGGCAACCAATTGGCGTGCCTCTCACATTGATGTTTCTCTCCCTCTCCCCGTCCTTCCACTCTCTGAAAAGCGATGTTAGAAGCATGCTCAGGTGAGGATTAAGAAAAAAGTGTCCTAGTTTAATAATAAATTATATGGTCAAACTCGTATAATGAAGTTTTAATGTTTATATGTATGATAAGAGTTTATATATACACAGGTCTGCATATTCATATTAATAACTATCTAGCTATAGATTTCCAAAAACACAACTAATGAAGCCTGGTCTCAGCATACCCAATCATCCTAAACAAATTTAAGACATCGTACAGAACTCTTAAGATAGCAGTCTCCTTGTGACTTAATTTCATCATCGGAAATGTACCATCATATAAACAAAGCTATGCTACCTCTCAGGAGCCAAGGGAGGAAAGCATTTCAGAAAGAAGGGAGCAAAAAACATTAACCGTGTTGACAATGAGAAACAGCAAAGTATAAATGGGTGAGGCCTCCAAGTTTGCTGATAACAGCTGCTGGACAGCTTCAATGGAACAGGTTCAGGAGAACATTAAACCCAGAGCAGAAGGGCTTTCGAGTGAAGGAAGCAGGAGCAGTGGACACAGATTATGTCCTTTCCAATATAAACAGTTGTGAGGGTAAGAAATCAGCTTTACTGATGATGATTAGAGAGGTGGCCAGATGGATGGACATGTGGCAAAGCAAATGCAGCAAAATGCTAACGCTAGGATCTAGATGGTGTGTTTATTATAATACACTTATTTCAACTTTCCTGTATTTTGAAATTTTTCATATAAAATGTTGAAAAAAAGACAACCACCATACAGTTAGAACTTACTTCCAATCCACATAATTCAATCTACATTGAGACACTGTAAAGACTGAAGACTCAGGAAGCCTTATCTTTATAAAGAGGGGTACACAGAGGTAAGGAAGGGCCAGCACTCACCTACAGACTGTGAGGTAAATGCTGCCACGATCTGGGGGCTGGCCAAGGCCTCCAGTCTGTTCTTCAAGGCCTCCAAGTGCACACATTTTTCTGAGTAGTCTGGTGTGTCAACAAGCATCATCAAGCTGTTCTGCATGCCTGTTAGCTTGGCAGAAATCACAGCTATATCCTATAAAAAGAGAAGCACAAAGGATACTTATTTTAAAAACACCCCTACTACTTCAGTTAATAATAGACAAAATGCATGAAAAAGCATAAAATAAGAAAATGGCCAATAAACACATTTACTATTATTAGTACTCAAATAAATACAAATTAAAATGAGAAAGTGCCATTTTCCTAACTGGAAAAACTTTTTAAAAATTATAATAGCTATTGTTGGTGAGGGTGCAAAACAATGTCTGTCTGGTACCATAAATTCATATCGTCTTTCTGGAAGGCAATTTAGCATCACACATAAAGAGCCTTAAAAACATTCACGCCCTTTGACCTGGAATTCCCTCTGCTAGAAACCTGTGTAAGGAAATAATCAGAGAACACAAAGGCATTAATGTGTTATAATTAATTAGTGTGATCTTAGTGTTGTAATAACAAAAACGTGGAAGCAACCTAAATCTTCCATAATAATAAATAAAACGTAAATTCTGGGTCAACCATAATGGCAGGTGGAATATTGTAGAGCCATAAAAAAATGATGTTTTTGAAAAGTATTAGTTACATAGCAAAATACTTACCACTAACTATTAAGTGAAATAAACAGGATAAAAAAGCATATAGCACCCTGGCTGGTTTGACTCATAGGTTAGAGCATATGCCTACGGACTGAAGGGTCCTGGGTTTGGTTCAGACCAAGGGCACATACCTGGGTTGCTGGTCTGATCTCCGCCCCCCCCAGGTGGGATGCATGTGGGAAGCAACCAATTGATGTGTCTCTGTCACATGAATGTTTCTCTCTCTCTCGCTCTCTTTCTCTCTCTCCCCCGTCTCTTCCCCTCCCCCCTCCCTTCTACTCTCTCTCTAAAAAGAAAAAAAAAAAAATGGAAAAAATATCCTCACTCCTAGGGTGAGAATTAAAAAATTTTTTAAAAATTGTGCTACTCGTCCATTTCACCAGCAACAAAAGCAAAAAAATACAAAAATATTCAAAGCACAATTTCCTGAGATGCTAACAAGGTGAGGTTTAGGGGTAGCCTGACTCACACTGGTGCATTCTCTCCTGTGTGGCTTCAGAGACGCTTTTTGTCATGCTGATGCATCAGCATGAAAGGGTTGTCAGGTCAAGAACCGAAATTTGTTTGACAACAAAAACATTTTTTTCCACGAACAATTTGGTCAAGAACTGAACTGTTTGAGATGGGAGGCGTACGAGAACCACTGTTTGACTGTATCTATAAATGTATACTACCTGTAATGTATGCATACATACAAAATACATTCATAAGTACAAATATACACAAACACATAGAAAAATACCTAATAGACATAAAAAACCATATTACTAGGGTATACAAATGAGGATCATTTTGTTTCTTTCATGTATTTTTCTGAATTATCCAAATCTAAGACACATAGATTATGTTTATAATTAGAAATATAAATGCTATTTTTAAAATAAAATTAAGAGTGTAATAACTAACTGCATTTCATTTTAGCATTCCACATGTCTATGATATGTGTCACACACTATATTGGGGGTCACATAGTCGCCTCAGAGTTCAGAGTACTGGGACAGGAGACTGCAGTACAATTTAACAAGTACGGCTCAGTGTTTGAGGACCACAGGTTAGGGAGCCATTAATGTTGCCTGTGAGAGGCAAGGGGCCAGCAGGGAGAGTAAGAAAGGAGGTGCTACTTCAGCTGGACCTTGAGGGGCCAGTGGAGGTCTACTGCCTATAAGAAAAGGAGAAGAAGGACCATTCAGGCAGAGAAGACATAAAGGGATGGTGTTAACAGTCCAAAGCAGTCACAATGTAGAACTCATTTGGTGGGGTGGCCACAGAAAAAACCACACACAGCTGTGAAAGAAAGGCTACGACTTGTGAGTGTGCATAAGATTTATCTCGTAGAAAATGAGGAGCCATTAAAGGTTAAAATGGTAGGGCAAGGGCCCTGGCCAGTAGCTCAGTTGGTTAGAGTGTCATCCTGATACACCAATGTTGCAGGTTCGATCCCCGGTCAAGGCACATACAAGAATCAACCAATGATGCGTAAATACGTGAAACTACAAATCCATGTTTCTCTTTCTTACTCTATCTCGCACGCACTCTCTCCTCCCACCTCTTCCTCTGTCTCTAAAAGTAATAAATATATTTTTTAAAAATGGAAGCCCACCGGCTTGGCTCAGCGGTTGAGCATCCACCTATGATCCAGGAAATGGAGGTCTGATTCCCAGTCAGGGCACATGCCTGGGTGGTGGGCTTGATGCCCAGCAGGGGGCATGCAGGAGGCAGTCAATCAATGACTCTCATCTTTGATGTCTCTGTCTCCCTCTCCCTCTCCCTTCCTCTCTCTGAAATCAATAAAAACATATTATTAAAAAAGCCAACTTAAGAATTAAAAATACATACACAAAAATATTTAAAAAAAAATTACTGACACAGAATAGATGGCTGAGGGAAAATATAAGGTGCAAAGCAGTGTTCACAATGTGCTCCCACTTGTGGGAAAAAATGGGCAGGGAACATATATCTGGGTGTGTATGTATCTGAAAGGACAGGCATAACGATGATAACAGGGAATTTAATTGGGGGGTGTCAGGGTTACAAGAAAGATTTTTTTGGCTGTTATTCCTGTTTACTAAAGTTTTTCCCATGTACATTTATCACTTCTTAAAAAACTTTTTAAAGTTTTTAAAAACAGCAAAAGAGATGATAATCCACTTTGCTTTACAAGTAAAAAAAGAGTTTTTCATAAGACATCATCTCACTTCATCCTGATAAGCAAGTTCAGAAGTATCACTACTTTCCACATTTGGCAGCCAGGAGGGGTTAACTCACCACAGTTCTGCAGGGGGTAAGGCCCCTCTGCCCACATTCCACACTCTCATTTACTGTGCTTTCTCTGCCTTTTTTATCGGAGCATCTCCTGAATTCACCCCCTGGGACTAAGAAGCTTCAGTCAAGCAGAGGGTACAAAGTAGAGGATGGAAATGCTCAGAGCACCCTTGGACTCTCCTTTCCCGGTGTCTGAATATCTCTGTCTGAGGCCATTTCCTACCCCTATGGTTGTGAGTGAATGGCTATCTCACTAGTTTCCCCAAACCTCAAGTGGCCACCTGAACAGATTTCACAACATCCCCTCAACAAGAAACCTACCTGAGTCTTGAATGTCTCCTCAATGTCAGCACTCAACGTGCTCCACTTGTCTGCTTCCTGAAGGGACTCGGCAGCAAGCTGCATCCTGGACTTCACCTGATCGATTTCTACCAACACCTAAAAGGGAAAGGGGTCAAAAATCAAGGAAGAGGATGTTCCATTTTCTCTACCTCCCATCTATGACTTGAAACCTAAGTATTGTGGCACAATGCCATCTTTAGGGAGCTTATGTGCCCCTTACACCAGTCACAGGAATAAATGTCCAGCGAGCGCTAAACAGATAAATAAGCTGAAAGAACTCAGCAAGAGAGTAGTCTGCGTGCTCGGCAGAATTCTGAGTTGGCCTCCCACTCTGAGAGTGAATGTCTTCCAAAACCACGAGTCAACATTCAGTACAGGAGCCAAGGTACCTGCATTGACTGCGATGTGTCCTGTTCAAATTTTTTAATGTCCTCCTTGACAAGAATCATTTGTTCTTTCAGAAAAGATGCCTCCTGTTTAAGAGCTTCGACATCACGGAGCACTTTGGGCATGTTCTGAAGGGCCTGGTGACTTGTTTCTGTAGCAAGAATCAAAGAACAGAAATAGGCACCAAAGGTGAAAATCAGACCATTCACCAGTGACAATATAAATCAGACAGGAAGAAGCTGTCTATCAACCACACCATTTCTCGAGCCTGTGGAAAATGGGCGGTGAAAGGGGAGCTGGCCTCTGCCAGGACCATGTCCTCCCAGACTGATGGGTAAAGGCCATGTGATTTAACACAACACACACCATCAACCTGACCCATCATCAATTGTTTTCCACTACTGAGTACAACTGTAACACCCTCTCAGAGGAAGGAGAATGATGGACTCTGGCATTAGGTGGATGCTATTATACAGCAGGTGCTTTACATACATTATATCACTTATTGTTCATGCCAATCATTAGCAGTCACCTCTTCCAGACAAGAAAACTGAGTCTCAGAGAGGTTAGGTAACTTGCCCAAGATTTCACAGAGCTGAAAGCAAACCTTACAGACTCTTTCAAAATACAGTCTGCAGACCAGCAGCACCAGCTGCAGTGAAGTTAAAATGCAGGCCCCTAGGCTACCATGCAGAGATTCCTGATTAGTAGGTTTTGTAGGAGACCAAGGGAAACCAAGGAATCTGCATTTTTTTTAATGTTTCAAGTGGAAAATAAAGTTTGAACACCTCTGCAGACCAGGATGTGTTATCTGGAAGAGGAGGGAGGGTTAACAGTATAGCCTTTTAACCCTTTAATGAGATGTTCACTGGGAATCAGCCAAAGAAGCCCAGGGTCTCCTGTTCCACCAGTGGGCTGAATGGACCTTCGCATCTTGAAGACAACTTCAGGAACCTGTTCATCCAGCTCTGCCTTGAAATAACAACCTGTTTCCAGCACTGACCCCAGGTAAGTTTCTAAGACTGAGAAAACAGAACACACAGAGATTTCTTCAACAGACTTCACTGACTTTAACAGGCGGGGGTGGCCCCAGCCTGGTTTCTAAATGCTAAGCCTCAAGAGTCCCTCTTCAGACCTGGCTGGTGCCCAGGGTATCTTTTTCCCTCTCTACAGCTCCCCAAAATGTAGTCCACTCTTGTACCCATTTTAAAACTATCACTTTCAGGGGTTGCCTCTGGAAGGGTAAGAGTCAGACCTCACTGCAAAGAGGTATGGGGGCACTTTTTTGTGATGGTAACATTCTCTTACGGAGGTCTGAGTTATACTAGTTGTACACTTGTGAAAACTCATCAACTCATCAGACAACATCCATGCATTTCATCTTATGTAAATTTTATCTAATGAAAAAAAAGCTGTAAACAAATGTTGAATTCTAACTATAATGGTTAGGGTTTTAATTGAAATATTTAGGGGTGAAGTGTACTGATGTCTGCAACTTATTTTAAAATGTACATCAAAAAATAAGATGGATTAAGGTTAAGTGGATAGATTAGTGTAAGAATAGTAAAGTAAGAAGAGTAAGGTGTTCACTGCAGCATCTGGACAGCGGTAGATGCAGGCTCACTACAAATTCTCTCCATGTTACTGTATGTCTGGCACCTCCACCCACAGTTTAGTTCAAGAATCTGCCCTTGTGCTTCATTCTCTCCCATCAGCCCTCATTCAAACCCATCAGCAAGTTCTCCCTGTTTTTCCTAAAAATGTCTCAAATCTAACCCCTAATGGGGACGTAGTTAAACCATGTTATTCCCCTGCTTAAAAGTCCTCCACTGCCTTCACATTGCACTCATTTTAAATAAAATCCAAACTTTTTTTTTTTTTTTTTTTGAGAAGGGAGAGGGAGAGAGAGAAACATCCACGTGGGAGCGAAACATTGACTGGGTGCCTCCTGCACGCCCCTTACCAGGGATCAAGCTTGCAACCAGGGCATGTGATCTGATGGGAATCGAATCCGCAACCTTTCGGTGCACAGGACAACACCCAACCAACTAAGCCACACCCACCAAGGCTCAAACTCCTTAATGTCACATTAAAATCCCTGAATGATCTAGCCCCTGCCAACTGCTCCAACCTAAGACTGAGTCTTACTCAACAGTGTGCCTCTGGACCCTGGAAAAGAGTTTGTGCCTGACTGAATGAGCAAATCAATCCCCCTGTTGAGGGCCCTCAGCACCTCCTGCTAGCACCTCTGCAGTAACTTCTCTTCACTGCGGACTTGGGCTCTTGTCTCATCTTCCGTAAACATAAACCTCCGAAAGCTTCTCTGCCAATGGGATGAAACCCAAACCCCTCAGGATAGCCAAAAAGGCCTTCCACAGTTTGATCCCAATCTACTCTCCTGCCTTATCTCCAGCAGAAGTTTCCCCCAAGAAAGCATGATCCTCTAACGATAATAACAATGACCAATATTTATTGATGTTATCGATGAAGCTCTGTTAGAATCTCTCACCTTTCTCTGGCCTAGCCAGAGCTTTTCATAGTCACAAGCCTCTCCCTTTAATACCAGAAAGGCTGCAAAGTACATACATTGGATAAGAGCCTGGGCTCTGCAACCGGTTGCCTGGGTTCAAATCCAGACTCTCCCATTCGTTAGCAACATGACGCTGGACAAGTTACTCCTCTCAGCCGCAGTTGCTACAACTATAAAGTGGGAGTAATAACTGCCTATTTCTAAGGACTACTGTCCGGCTAAAATGAGATAATCATGCCAATAAGGGGGCACTATTAACACTGGGGCCAGGACACTCCTCATTGTGCAGATATGCCCTGTGGGACACTGGGCATCGCTGTCCATCTTTGTGACATTCTCCACCATTTCGACAAAAAAACTTCCCACCAATTTCCAAATATTCCAGGGACAGTGGCAGGCATTATCCCCGGTGGCTGAGACCCACTTAGTTAACTCATGCACAGCGCTGACAACCATGCCTGACACATCAAGCACTCACACATCCGCCCTCACTAATGCCCCCCCCTTTTGCCCCGGAAGCCTTCCTGGACAGGAGGTAGCTGCACCCTCTTCCAGCCTTCCAGCTCCGGGTTCTAGTCTCAGCAAAGCCACAGCTCAGTAATCCGTGTAAAAAAAAAA